TAATACAGTAGTTTGGTGTTAACTGTCCTCACTGAGGAAATAACAGCACTGTCACAACATTCCCGTACTTATGAGGAATGAACCGGGGAGGCAGCTGCAAGGGTGCAGTTGGCTGGAAGGAGGAGTGTAGAAGAGATATCCAGAATTGTGGGCAGCCAGTGAGTATTTACACAAAGGAGAACAGAAGCACAGGATTCTAACGGGACCACTTCCCAAACTTCTGTTAAATAACATCATTTCTATTATAGGAGTCTTAACATATTTAAGTGTGACGTATGCCTACCATGCATAAGAAACAACCTCAAGCACAAAATGGAGTAGACAAACATGTGACAGTCTTGTGTGCTGTAGCTCCAGATGAGGTCAGATGTGTAAACAAGAGCTGTGAGAAGACCAGACTTGGCCAATGCAGTCAGAGGAATCAGGGGACGGTCATCAGCTGAGTTTTGTACACTTTTTCTTTCCTTGTGATCCCTGTGCACACAGGGGGTAATAAAGATGACTCAGCACAGATCACCAATGGTCAGTGCCACCATGACTGGAATTTTTCAAAAAGTTCTTTCTTAATCAGAGGGTATGTTTATGTGTCACGTCTAAATGTGCTTCCCCTTCACATCAATTTAAGAGAGCGCCTCCTAGAGCAACACAATACCACTACCTCTACACCACACTGTTGTCTCCGGTTCTGATTATTTTTAAAGCATTCTGGGTCATTCATTATCACAAAGAACGGAAGTCTGTTTCACGTTCTGATTGCTCAACACGAGCGTGCCTAGCTTGCTGCAGGATAACTTTCAGTTTTATCTTTGACATAAATCACAAAAATGAGATCTGGACCTTGAACGCATGCTGGCAGTTTCTCAGCGGTGCATTGGGAAACACCAGATGTTTTCATCTGTCAGAGCAGAGAGGAGTTTCTTACATAGAGTTTGCATGCTACCGTCTCTAGAAGAGTGCAGTGACCCGTGTTTTGTAATGTGCCTGCTGGCTCCAGTAGAGTTCTGCTTAGTTTTGTGAGTCAGTTTGTTTGTAAGTCAGCCTTACTTTGCAGAACCAGGAGTCACATGCAGCTACTCCTGATTCCAAGATGAAATGTCATCGGTGATAAATTTTGATCCGCTGATGGAACCTTTGAGTAACACACACTCATGTTAGCCTCTGTTTGTATGTTTGGGGAAGTAAGGAGTAACTAATCAGGATGGTACAAAGGACTCATTCAAACCAGCCTCTTTCTCTGCAGTGGAGAGTGGGCGGGCTTCCCTATGAAGAGGGAGAGCAGATCAGCATCCCTTGTGCTTCAGGAGCAGGCCCTGTCTTAACCATGAGCTCTGGCTCCCTAATATTGGGTGGGTGGCGAAAGCAGAGCTGCCACTGCCCAGATTTCACTTGGCTGGAAGCTCTTGCACAGATTGACCTATAGATGCAGAAAAGCAGTGGGTTTAATCTTGCTTTATCTTCACACATTCTTTCATGCCAGTGGACTTAGAATATGGTAAAAAGCTTGTGTGTGAGTGTCTGGGAGGTTGTTAGGGGTTATTGAATGGCTCAGGCTGAAAAGCTGCTGCAGACACTAGTTTGAAATGACCAGAGACGTGCCAAGCCCCAGAGAGCTCCCAGTGCTGTCGGCAAAACTCACTGCTCTTCCAGCTGGTGCTCACTGTCCCGTAAGGAGCTGTGGAGCTCAGAGAGTGGCAGGGCGGCAGCTGAAGGCTTTAGAGGAGTCTCTGGACAAGACTCCATCCACCCCATTGCGTTACATGGGTTATAAGATCACTTTATTGGCCATAGACAAGTTCTTGCATTAGGAATTTGTCTTTTTCCGCATACCCCACCTTGCTCTCCATGAGACACACAGACAGGGAGAGAAGCTGGGGGTCAGAGCGCAGGGTCAGCCATTGTACAGCGCCCCTGGAGCAGCTGGGGTTAAGGGCCTTGCTCAGGAGCCCAATAGAGTAGGATTCCGCTGCCGGCCGCGGGATACGAACCGGCAACCTTCTAGCCACAGGCACAGATCCTTAGCCACAGAGGCACCAGAGCCACAGGTTAGATAAGGGGGTGTTTGGTGGAAGGGAAGTCTCAAACATACCGTAATTACTGGTTTTCAAATTTAAGGGGAAACAAGGAGACCCACGTCATGTATCTAGCACCAGGTGGTGGCTGATTTAAAAGTCTTCAGATTACGATACCTCAAATGAATCAGCTTACTTGGGTAAGCACTGTGGCGTAAAGCTGTCTTTACGTAGGACATGTCTGGATGTAACAGAAGCTGATAACATCTCGGTATTAGCTGTTTTGTAATGAAAATGTAAGGAAGGAGGCATGCAAGAAATGAAAAGGGTGATATCATCAGCAACCTAGTCTGTAAACAGTGCTGTTCAGAGCAAGAAAGCATGTCAGACTTGGGGAGGGATCTGTGGAGATTCACATATCGTCAGTCAAATGTTTAAACTCAGGCACCACAGTAAGAAAAAAAAAGCAGCATAAAATGGAAAACATGAGTACAGTACTGGGCTCTGTATCAGCAGATCGGTTTAGATACTAGAGGTGTTAAACACTCAGTGTGGCTAGATAACAGTGTTTTCTTAACCTTTTCTACTTGTTTGCCAAAGCCCCCTTTTCTGGCACCTACTCTGAAGTGGCCAGTAGGATGAATCATGCTGTGTGAAAGCACATCAGGTCCTTCTTTTGTCTTAAAATACTGCAGCAGGCCAAAGTCTTTCTGAAGATAAACACGACTCAAAGACAATGCATGAGGAAATCCCCAAATGTAAAATCTCTGCTGCTTCATCTTTTATTTCTCAGTCTCCCATCAGATCTCAAAAATGAAAATGCCAATAATGACAAATAATAATGGGTTGTAGATTGTAACCTAGTGTAACAGCTTGGCACTCTGTTCTTAGCATGTTTTCCCAGTGAAATCTGTTACAAGGTCCCACAGGAAATGAATCTGGTTCAGTCAGGATCCCTGCTGAACTCAATTTAAGAACACTGGAGTGGTCCCAAACACATGGAGCCATTTCCAACCATTCGCCCTCCTGGTAGCACTGGTTTATTGACCCTGGGGACCTTATCGAGCTAGGTCCTTGAAAATGATCCCAGAGAGTATGCTCCCACAAAAAGGAACGCCATTTCCATCCTAAAAGCTCTTGTTTTCCTTTCCAGTGTCCTCCGGGATGGATTCCTTGCTTGCCTGGGCTAGCAGCAGTCTCCCACACAGTTAGACGTACCATCTGAACCCCACTACCACAATGCCTTCTCCGGTCCGGGCTGAAGAGGGTGACTCCCTTGAACCAGACAGGTCGTGCAGGTACAGTATTACTGTCTCCTCTTCTTCGAATGCTCTCCAGATCAGCAGTGTCTTTTCATACTGCGCTGCTCAAAGCTGAATACAGACCCCTCTTCCTACAGTAAATGAAAGCACATTACATGGGATTAACATTACCTATATGTGTATTCTGTTAACTGTTTTAGTTGACTCATCAGCTGCCCTTTTCCAGGTAACAGAAGGAAACTGAGTTTTTTATTCAGCTGCTTCTTTAAAGTTCAGTTCCTCCCATTTGACATTTATGATATACGTGTTTCCATCATGTTATGCTTCGGTCTTGCTTACAGTGAATTTAGTTTGTCTTCTGATTTTGGAGGGGGTTCTGTAGTCTAGAGTTACCTGGGGTCCTGGGAGATAGGGTGCCAGTGAAGACCAAGAAAATAGGACCTCAAAACCTCAACCCTGTGTCCTAAGACAGCCCTGCTCTGTCACTCTCTTACTGCTGGAAATAATCTTCTTTTAATTACAAGTGGAAAAGCTTTGCATCCCTGTTTGAGGTTCCACTTTCACAGTGGGGCCATTTGTTAAAAACAGCATTTCTAATATTGACATCATTGTTAGTAGCACTAGAAGCAGAAGTGTTTCCGTTTTACATTCATGTGAGTTTAAATTGGAAGGAGTCGTTCCTGACTGAGGATACAGATAGAACTGCAGGCTCCCACCCTGTCTGGATGCCTCAGAGAATTGGATATTCAGAAGTTGACACAGGAAGGCTTTCCCAGTTCTCTTCCTTAGGTAAAAGCTAAGCATTCACCGCAGGCCTGCAGGACATGTGATTTCCTATTAACCGCTCACATCGGGAGGGGGATATACAACTCCAGGTCTCTTGTGTTTTTTCCCAGAGGACTGGAGTCCAGGCAGTGTCACTCGTGCTTTATGACAAGGAGGAAAGGGCATTTTAAGGAGCCTGCCCCAGGCCTAACAGTAGGGGGATCTCCAGAGTCACCTGCCTGAGGACGAGAGTGGCTTTACCAGTGTCCCAGTGCCGGTCTGGTCACAGGTGAAATGTTCTGTCCCTGTTCTCTCGCCTCATGGGGCCGCTGCTACCGAGAGACTGCGCCTGCTCGCTTCCCAAAAGGATACAAGATATTGGGGCGCTCTGCCAGAGCCTGGCTCTCCAACCCACTGCACACGAGCCCCGGGTCACGCGTGTCCGGCGTGTGCTGGACCCCCAGTCCTACCGATCAGATGCAGGAGGCGGGGACATCTTCGACTCTCCTCGACCCGACCCGACTCGACCCACTTTATTTTAAAATCCGTACCAAAACGTACTAACCCCCCTCTAATATTTGCCCAGGGGTTCAGCACTGCAGAATAGACAGCGGTTATTCTTTCCAAATAACTCCAGACTCCAACGCCCATTAACTTAAACTGCCTTTTACACTGAAATCTCCTTGGCGAGAAGAGTCTGGTACTGTATGTACTACGCAATGATGTCACGTCGAATCTTTTTGAATCATCGAAAAAATACCCCGCGACGTGGGTTTATTTTAACACCCATTCAATAAAAAGTACAACTGCTGCCCAGTTTGACATACGGTACTTTTCCCTCCCAATATGCATCGATTTCGTAATAAGACTGCAAAACAACGTTGCGAAATTGTAAACAGTGTGGAAAAAAACCGAAAGCTGCTGTATCCTTATCAAGGTTTTTTTTTTTGAATTATATAATTCAAATTATTTTTAGAAGGGGGAAGTTAATGGACACTGTATTGCACGGAGACATCGGGGCGTCCCGGCTCCCGGAGCCAGTTTATTATGAGAGACGATCCGGCCGCAAAGCAAACAGGAATAAAGAGACAAAAACTCAAAAAGTAGCCTTTAAAACCGTCACACAGCGTCAGATAATGAGATATAAATAAAAGCTGTAAAAGGTAGGGAACTTCCATTTACACTATACGGTAGAGACACTCCGCAGTTTCACTTTCGTTAGTGGTGATGAGCTGCAGGTCATTTGCAACAGTTATTTCTCCTTATTTTTAGACTCTCCGATGGTACCTGTCAAGAACGCGGACTGTTTCTGACTGCAGGGCAAAAACTGCGACGAGCAAGCTTGCTTTTCTGACAAGACCCGGAGTTTGCAGGCGTTTCTTGTTTCGTCAAACGTACAACACATACTGTGTGGGTTTTAATATGCCAGAAATTTCCATTGATGAGGTTGCGTTACACATGCTAAAACCAGACTTCGGAACGCGTTCTTGCTAGTTTATAATACGAAATTCAATGTGTGTCAGCAACACAAAAGCATTTATTTATACCACCGCCCTGCTGCGCATTTAAATAGGGAAAGTGAACTGTAAAACAGCATGCAAATGGTTATTTTGAAAATGTATGTACAAAACCGGGCTTACAACGAGGAAAGCGCCCCTTGAAGTGGTATTGGCTTTAAGGGAATGAAGTATACCGCCAGCTACGATAATGTACCTAAAAAATAAAAAGTCCCGAGAGAGCAATACTTCCCACGGTCAGGAGTAACTCAATAATATTATTGAGGGGGAGGGGTAGCAGCATTTCCAGTAAAGAAAACGCATCAAGGTAAAGCAAATCATCTACCAAAAAGCGGGGGAATTTAAAAAGATTGTACAGGTTGTAGTTGAAGATTAAAGCGTGCTTCTGTTGTCATTTAATGGCAGCGTGTCCTGAAAACTGGGCTTTCCCGAAGAAGCACGGCCTAATTTGCATAGCCCCGCCCCTTCGTATTAAACCAATGACGCCACGAGGTCATGCCGTCATACCAAGAGTGAACAGCTTTGCTAGCGGTCATTACTCTGGAGCTGCTTCTTCCCTGCTGAGTGCACCTTTCGTTTTTATTTATTTTTTTAAACATCTGTCCACGATGTAAGTATGGGTGTGTTTTCGAAATTCAATATAACAAGTGTGTAAGGGTAGATATTAAAAATGCATTTCATTTGGCGTAATGAATCTCATTTTGACGTTACAGGTAGTTTGTCAGTGCAGCTGTCATGTTGATCTCAGTAACGAGGGCGATATTGAACAAAACGAATGAGTCCTGCTTCTTCTATGAAGTTGTACCGACTGTACACAGCAGCTGTAGGTTAGAGGAGTTGTTGGAGTGAGGGTTTCCTCTCAGGTGATGGGAGTTTTCCTGTAAACAGTGTTTAGCAGGACGCAGAGTTTCCTCTGAGATTCAAAACCTGCAATGACTTTGATAACTATAGTTTATTTTTTCTCTGTTTGATCAGTGTTCAGCTTGCTGTTCCAGGGTTTGCTTTATTCTAGTTTTATTCTTCATTCTTTTTTGGAAAGTAGGTGGTTTGTGCCACAGTGGTTTCTCCAAATTTAAGTGGAACATCTGCTGTTAAAAAGGGGGAAGCTATATAATCACACACAGCTCGCCAGTCCTGTTGTAAACCACTAGTGGCAAAAAAAAACAAACCATGTGGATTTGCAGGCTGTGCCAAGTCTGTTTAGTTATTGATGGAAGTATGTCAGCAGTTCATTTATTCATACTTAAAATATTTTTCATAGACTTAAAATATTTTTTAATTACAGTTTAATTCAAAATAAAAAAAAGAGTAGAGTGGTTTTCAGAGTGACAGTCCACAGAGTTGGTTTTATAATTGTCCAAAAGAGAACCCAGAACAGCTGGCTCAAGTATTGACTTGTTGAACATTGTTTTCTCACACCTGGAAATTCAATACGCAAAATAGCTGGCCCTGCAGAGCCAGAATGGATGTGTAAAGGATGGGTGGGGGGGGGGATGTTCAAAGTCGTATACACATCGGGACCGGTCAAGCATTTACAGGAAAGAAACTTAATTCCAATCCAGCTTCCCTGAACAGTCATTCCGCAGATCCTCTGCTGCTCCTCTCTGGAATGACAGTCATTGGCTGTCGGTGGGAACGTCCCTGCCCACTCAGCTCACTGAGGAGCACAGAGAGGGATTCTGTGGCATGCCGGCTGGGAACGACGGGACAGCCAGCTGTGAGTGAAGCTGACGGATGATCGCAGGCCGAGGGCCAGTGGAGGGAAGCCAGGTTTGCTGGGAAGGGAAAATACAGGGCCTGACGCTTCTCTCCCTTTGAAATCAGCTTTGTGAGGAGAGCGACCCCCCCACCCCGCACCAGACAGTCACCCCACCTGCCAGGACCTGCCTCTTTATCTCGGGAAGTGGCAAGCAAGCCCGCACGTGCGCAGTCGGGATTCTCGGAGCGCGGGAGGGGTACGGAATGCGGAGCAGCGACATGGGGGTGACCTGGGGGCTCCTGCTGCACCTGCTGGCGGCGGTGGTCCTGCTCACGCGCGGCCGCGCGGAGGACGTGGGCTGTAAGAAGTGGACACCCAGTGAGAAAGACCAAGGCCAGGTGTGCTGTGAAGAGTGCCACAGAGGTAAGACTGCCGTGTCAGGCAGGGGGCGCTCTGCCCTGCTTCTGCCTTCTCCCCCGCCTGTGCCGTGCCTCCACTCTTGGGCTTCTTAGCCAGCCGGTAGACCTCATGGCTCTCCGAGCCCCGCAGGAAGGAAACTTGCTTCACAGCCCCGAGAGCCGCTGCTGTAAGAGGCTTGGCTTGGTTTCACGATGAGATTCCTGCTGACGAGTTTCAGCGATGAGTACCAGTTGTTACAAAACATGACAGAGGCTGGAGGAATGCAGTACTGTGCGCACCGGGAGTCTATTCCCTGAGCTACGCTCTTGTTAGCTGTGCTGGGTGAGCGCCCAGCACTTCTGCAATAGAACCGGACCTAAAAAAGTACAATACTAATTGTGCAGCAGCTCCTTTCTGGTGATGAAGGATGTGAAGAACTGGTGATTGCAGTTGTGCAGTCTCTAATGAAGTATCCCCAAAAGGCAGCTCCTTACATTTTCACCAAAAGAAAGCATTTGTTTCTTAATCTCGTCCTGCTTATCTGCTCATCAATAAGCCCACATTGAACTTCCATACTTTTTGGCATTCTGTATATATGTACTGTATACCACACATACATTAAATTCATGAAATGGATTCATGTGATGGGATAAGTTAGCAGCGAAAATCTAAAGACGTCCTCAGGCCAGTTTTTTGTTTTTCTAGCAGATCCTGGGTTAGAGTATGTACTTCAGTTATTTTCACTTGATTCCACAGAGTGCATCGCAAAGTATTACTCAGGCTCTGAGGTGAAACCCCAGGGCAGACAGTAGCTGTGCTGCCACAGAGGGCAACATGCGTCATACATTCAGCAGCTGGTGACCGTGACTCTCGCCCGCCGCTTTGCAACCTCAGATTTTCCTGGCCTTGTCATCCCCCGGGCCGCAGACTGCTCATGGTGACACAGCGCCTCCCACTCCGAATTACCTGATTTTAAAGATCTGCCTCGCCGAACGCGAACGCGCGAGGGGAGGGATTTTCACCTTCGCCGTCCGACCCAAGCCTGCGTCACTGCCTCACTGAGCTCCGAGTTCAGGCAGGGGTTTGTCGTTCTCGAACTGCAGTGCACTTTGTGTCAGTCAGGAAGCCTCTGCTCTGTGATCAGATTGGACGATTTGCCCTATTTTACATGTTTCAAACAACGCCCCCCCCCCCCAAAAAAAAAAACGGGAGACTGGGTAATAACTTCCAGCCAGTTTTAAAAAGTACTTCTGTGGTCCTGCCTTGTTAATGCACTGATGATCGTATTTAAGAAGAAGTTCGCTTGCTTACTTCAGATAGTGCTCTGATTCAATGGAGTTTATTTTTTGTGCATTCTTTTTGGTGGTTTTGCTCTCCGAAAGTTTCGTCAGCCAGGGGATTGCCATTTAAAGAGAAGTACATACTAACATTGGGCACCTCAGATGTGAAAGTCGTTTTGAAAGCCAGTGTGACAGGAGATAAGGCAGGCATTGAGGTAGCTTTAGGCAAATGGAGAGGAACTGAAATTCTGCGAATGTTTGATTTTGGCAGCTGGCAAAACCTACTAATACCAAACCCATCAGATGAACACCAGAGTGCATCAAACCAATAAAGGAATGTACAGTGGTATTTTTTCAGAAATCCCTTGGTAGTAGCAGCCAGTAATGAGTCAGCTGAAAAAGAAAAGCACCATAGTAACGTTTTTGCATGGGATAAGCCTTGTGACTCCCCATGTGTCTTGTTTCAAAATGTGTCTTTTACTACACTTGAGTAAATATGATGCTGCATTTTTTTAAATACTCTGTGTCCCTTGGTTATACATTAATTTTGATGATGTTCTCTGAGTTCCAGGAGCATTCCACTGACAAGCAAGTTAGTGTAACAGGATCATTTCACTTTTAGGTTTTCATAAGCGTGGGATACCATTTTTCAGGTATTTTTAGATCTGTCCAGAAAACCAGTCCAGCCAGTCCCAGGAATCCAGGTTTGAGATGATTTCAATGCGGCAGCAATGCAGTGTGATGGGTTAGGGCTCCAGCCCCCAGAAGGTTGTGGGTTCAAATCCCTGGTCCTTTTGTACCAGTCTCGATTGCACCAGTAAATGCTCTGCTGTATAAACAGGTCATATGCTCATCACAGTGTCTGAAAATCTGTTTTCAATTGACTTATCTGGTTAAACAAATGATTTAAAACAAATTAGGAATAAGTGAGCAGTACCGTGGCACAGTGTACCTGGGGCCCTGGGTTCAGGTGTGCTATCTGCGTGGAGTTCGTATGTTCTCTCTGTGTTTCCGGCCATTGAAACTGATGAGCGTTTAGAAGGGCTTCAATAACGCACGTCCATAATGGCAATTAAATGGTTAATGTGAGAACAGTCAAAAGGAAGACCTTCAAAACCTTTGTTATCTTAACATTAAATGTAGAAGGCCTTTGAGTGATTACCAAAATGATTATTATTGAATTGGTACCTGTGTCTTGTGCATTTGTCCTCAATCCTTGCAGTCGCTCTTTATCACTTTGACTTGTGCTGCTCAGTTAGCACAACCTGAAATCACAGAACTGCCGCAGAGCATTCCTGCCGGGCCCTTCTTGTACCGATCATTCATGAAGTGGACACCCTGTCTCCCCATGTCAGTGGCGCCGGAGCATGCATCATCAGCAGTCACCCAGATCGGGGCTTGGGCTATTTCTTGTAATGTTAACAAGCCATGCTCACTTCATCTTAACCCGTTCAGACCCCAGATTGTGTTCGGGGGCAGACGCCCTGTGGTTTTTTAGCAAGCGGAGAGATGTCAGCCATCTCTTGGGGCAGTTGGCAGGGCTGAGTGGGTTAAACGTTTGAATGTGGGATACCAGTGGAGGAAGTGAGACAAGGAACGGACAGTTGTAGCAAAAAAAAATGAACCCGTGGCTTTATCCAGTCTGCGTACACTAGATATTTCAAGCTGCTGCTTCACTCAGTCTCTTTCTAGAAAAAGAATACCCTTTCAAAACGCACATCCAGCTTTGCAGGATTACTGTAGTGAAATGGGACAAATAACCTTATGTAGTGCTTTGAACTTGGGGTTGTGATGAGTGGGGAAAAAAACATAAGAGCAGCCATGTAGCACATATATCTGTCTGCCTTCAAAAAGACAAGCTTCAGAGTGCTGGACTCTCTCAGAGCAGTGTCTGTGCTTGTCATCACTAGCCTGCAGCTCAGGCAGGAGACTAATGTTGAACAGTTTGGAGTATTCAGGGAGGTGTGCTTTATGGCCGATGGATAAAATAAACGCCGACATCAGCAAGACTTCTGTAAGTAATTAAAGAGGGGTGCAGTATACAGATATGGATTTACAGCTGAGATTTAAATTACTATTTAGAGAAATGCTGCATTTCCCGCAAATGCCTTTGTGAAATTCCCTTTGCTTGGGTACTCTTTATAGTCTTCCAACTTCCTAAAGTGTATATTGGAGGCTGAAAAAAGTAGTTGTACAGTAAGCCTTTGTATTTATCAAGGTGACATGGTGTTGCAGTGGTTAGCATTGATACCTGGCAGCGCTGGGGGCCTGTGTTCAGTTCCTGTGGTGCTGTCTGTGTGGAGTTTGTATGTTCTCACTGTGTTCGTGCTCTGGTTTCTTCCCATAATCCAAAGACGTGCTGGTAGATGACTTCGCTTCTGGGAAAATTGGCCCTGGTGTGAGAGTGTTCATGTCTATGTGCCCTATGGTGGGCTAACGTCCCATCCAGGGTGAACCCTGCCTTGCACCCGTTGCATGCGAAACTAATGAAGTGGTTAGAAAATAAATCGGATGGATATTTGTCATATTTCTGTTTGAGGTTGGTTTTTAGAAGCAGGAAATCCATGAGTAAGACTCGAATAGAAACTTCCAACAGGTGTTTAGTCTTTCACTTCTGAAATTCAGGGCTCTTTCTTCAGTAATGACATTGACTGCAACAATATAACTATGATACTATTAGTTTTAATGAGTCATTTAAAAACGTGAGCCTGCAATTTGTGGTTTTTATATGACAGAGTTAATCCTGGTTTCTACATAACAAAGAGACTGGCCACAATGACAACAGCTAGGTGGACCAGAAGAGTTGCCACTGAGTGCCCCTATCAACGGGTACTTCACAGTAAATCTCTTTATACAACACTGAGTCATTCAATTTCAGATTTCTGAATTTTAATTCTTCTTAAATAATGGATGTTCTATGTCAAGGGTAAGAAAATGTTCAATTGCTGTCCTGGTCTGTGTTCTACAAAACGTGGGAAAGTCTCCAGTTCTGTTTGAAGTGCTCTTGGCTGATCATACCCAGGGGAAAAACGAGGTTCACCTTGCTGCATCTGTGTGTCTGCTTTCAGGGCACCATCTGTCCTACCTCAAATGTGGGCGCGAACCCAAGAACCTGTGCCTCCCGTGTGAGAAGAACACCTACGCGCCCTCCAGCTCCTGCAACTTCTGTCTGAAGTGTTCCACCTGCACAGGTAGGGCCAGGCACAGAGCAGTCCCTGCCAGCTCACTGGCTGAAGTGTTCCACCTGCACAGGTAGGGCC